TATAGTATTTAGGTCTGTGATCCATTTCAAGTTATTTTTTACAGTGGTGTAAGGGTCAGAGTTCCTACTTTCATATATATACACACACACACACACACACACACACACACACACAACCAATTATTCAAGCATCAATTGTTGAAAAGATTATCCCTATCCCTTACTTATTGAATTACCTTGGCGTCTTTGTCAAAAAAATTTTTTAATCAATTGACTATGTAGGAGAGGGTCTATTTCTAACTATTCTGTTCCACTGGTATGTGTGCATCTTTACTGATACTATACTGTCTGGTTTATTATAGCTTTATAGTAAGTCTTAAAATCAGGTAGGGTAGTTCCCCAATTTTGTTCCTTTTTCAGAATTGGCTATTGTTACTTTCGCTATTCTATATAAATTTTAGAATCAACTTCTGTCTCAACAAACTGTTCTGTTTCATCTAAGTTATCAACTTTAGTATCTGTATAATCTATAATATCCCCTTTCATTTCTAATATTGATCATTTGTTTTCTCTTTTTCTTGCTCACTGCTAGAGGTTTATCAATTTTACTGATTTTTTTTTTCATCGTTATGAAATGTCCTTCTCATTCCTAGTAATATTCCTTGGTTTGAAATCTACTTGGTGTAATATTACTATAGACTTCTAGCTTTGGTTAGTGTTTGAATGGCCTGTCTTTTTTCTGTCCTTTTACTCTTAACTCACATTGGCTTACTTGGAGGCAGCACATATTTGGGTCTCACTTTTTTTTTTTTTTTTTAAAGATTTTATTGGGGATTTGGGGGAGGGCAACAGCGCTGGGGAATCGCCAGGAGGGGAGCAGTCAAGTTGCTATCCTTTTGTTCTTCAGTCTAGTTGTGGAGGACATCGCTTCATTGGCCCATGTTGGTATTATCATTGCACTCTTCCCAAGTGAGGCAGATTGGTTGCCGGCCTTTGGATGGCCGCTAACGGAGGCTCTTGGCAGCTCACACCGGCTCCCAGCCGCTCACGCTGGCTGCTGGCCACACGTGGTAGCTTATGGCAGGCAACTGCAGCAGGGGCTGCAGCCTATGCCATCGCCAGCGACTCACAGCAGCCCAGCTCCGGGTTGAGCTGTTGTTCACCATCTTAGCTGTAGAGGGCAGTGTCACTGGCCCCCATGTAGGATCTGAACCAGGGCCCTACTGCTCAGAGCTGGAGTCCCAAGCCAGCTCTTAACCAACGCGCCACTCGGCCAGCCTGACGGTCATTTCTTTAACTATTTAAGATGTTGCTCAGTTATCTACCAGCTTTCAAGATTTCTGATATCTGCTGTCATTCTTTGTTCCTCTGAACAGATTGTCTTTTTTTTTCCTCAGGCTATTTTAAGATTTTACATTTTTCATTGGTTTTCAGCAGTTTGGTGACTAGGTGCTTTGGTGTGGTTTCTTTATGACTATTCTGCTTGGTGTGTTGAGCTTCTTAGATCTGTGGGCTTTATCGTTTTTATCATATTTGGAAATGTTCTGGTCATGAATCTTCAAATATTTTGCTCTTTCCTCAGTTCCCCCTGACCTGTTTTCCTGAGAGGGATTACAGAAATTTTATTTTTGTTCATCTCTTCCATCATCTTCAAGCTTCCCTCTTTTTTCTTGAACATCTAGAGCATATTTATAATAGCTTTTTAAACATCATTATTTGCTACTTCGTCCCTCATCTTTGTATTTTCTGGATCTGTTCTGTTGGTTGACTTTTCTCTTATTTCTTTGCATGCCTGGTAATATGTGATTGGTTGCCAAACATTGTGACTCGGCATTTCTTTTCTTTTTTTTAAGATTTTTATTGGGGAAGGGGAACAGACAAGTTGCTGTCCTTTTGTTCTTCCGTCTAGTTGTGGAGGATGTCGCTTCACGGGTCCATGTTGGTATTATCATTGCGCTTTTCCCAGGTGAGGACGTCACTTGCCGGCCATTGGACGGCGGCTCACGGCAGCTCCCTAAAGCTCACGCCCACTGCCAGCCAGCCCCACTGCAGCCTATGCTGTCACCAGCGACTCACGGCAGCCCAGCTCCAGGTCGAGCTGTTGTTCACCATCTTAGCTGTAGGCAGCATCACTGGCTCTCATGTGGGAGCCAAACCGGGGCCCTGCTGCTCAGAGCTGGTGTCGCAAGCCAACTCCTAACCAACGCGCCATTCGGCTGGTCCCTGATTCCACATTTTTGAGTGCTAAGTTTTGTTATTTTTGTTACTTTTTAGATCTATTCTAAGGTACAGTTAAGTTACTTGGATTCCATTTGATCTTTCAAGACTTGTTCTCAAATGTCATGAGTATCTACTGGTTCAGAAACAGCCTTTAGTCTAGAGCTAATTGGCCCTGCTGCTGAGACAGCACTCTTTTAAGGACTCTGCCTGTGTGTTATGAGGCATTTGCACTGAAGCTGGTGGGAACAGGAATTATTTCTGGCTCTGTGAGATCTGGGAATTGTGTGGCCTATGGCTTTCTAATGCTTCTTTGCCCAGTTCTAGTTAGTTTTCTCTTATGCGTGTGCAGATCAGTCCTCATCCAAAGAATTGAGGGAATTCCTCTGCAAATCTTCAGAGCTTCTTTCTATTACTCTACCCTCCAGTACTCTGCCCCACAAATTCTAGCAGTCTCAGCCTCCCCAAATCCTACTGTCTTCTCTCTCAACTCAACAGGGTTCTCCCTCCCTGAAGAAAATGGAAAAGAGGGAGAAGATGAGCTTACACTTACTTGGTTGAGGGATAGAACTTGCTTCAGTTGGAATGCTGCTTTGACTTGAGGGCTAGTGCTCTGGGGGACCAAATCTTAGCCATTTAGGCATGTTCTGGTGGCACAACATGAAGAATACCTGCTCCCATACATTTAAGAAAAGGTTATCTTCTCTTCAGAATACTAACCACCCATTTGACAGTGGACACTCTCAGAAAATACAGAGGATTGATTTCGACTTTGTAATGTTATTTCTCTCAGTTCCTGTGACCTGAAGTATACGGAAGGAGTACAGTCCCTCAACTGGACGAAAATCATGAAAACCATTGTTGATGACCCTGAGGGTTTCTTCGAACAAGGTGGCTGGTCTTTCCTGGAGCCTGAGGGTGAGGTGCGTGAGTGTGGGGTTTCTTTTCTGTTACGTAGTTGCCCATTATCACTTGGGCAGTTAGGAGAATGCTGTATAAGGAATACATAAGGGACTAGACCAAACTGGGAAAACTCTCAACACATCTTGGTATTATTGTTTCTCCAAATTAGTTTTACAGGCAAATGATAAATTAACTGGGCATTTGTAGCCATTGAAACATTTCCTTGAAATTACAAAAACTGTTCTTTCAATGAATTTCTTAGTATTTGGAAAAAATTCTTAAGAAAATTTTGCAAAGATTATTTTCTAAAAAGTGATCGGTCCTCCCACTTCTACATAATGCGTTATTACCAAGAGTATTTCTACAGTTAATTTTCCTGGGTAAGGAAGGATGAAGTGAATCTTTAAGAAATATGAATAGGGGAGCATGTGAGATCTTTTTCCCCATCATGTTGTCAGTTTGGCTTGAATAAACTCTTATTTAAAAAAAAAGAAATGAGTTAGGTATTTAGAGTATCTAATAATAGTGCCTTACTGGTAGTTTTAAATAAGTCTTTTTATCTCTTGGCCACTCAGGGTTTTTTGTTTTGTTTTGTTTTTTCATGTAAAATAGAAATTATGCGGGTGTGCTAAGTGGGTTGAATTAATTCATTATGTTAATAAAGTGAATATTTTAAAAACAGGAAATAGTATTACTCTCTCTCTAACTCAACAGGGGAGTGATGCTGAGGAAGGGGATTCAGAGTCTGAAATCGAAGATGAGACTTTTAATCCTTCAGAGGATGACTATGAAGAAGAGGAAGAGGATAGTGATGAAGATTACTCATCGGAAGCTGAAGAATCAGGTTAGTCTTCATAAGGAAACGTTTCCATGGCTTCCTAATCTAATGTCATTTCTAGAAATGGCTTTTATAGAAGAAGAATTCTGTCATTCCATTCCATTCCTATCCAATGACTTATGCTTAATCAATTTCATTTCAGACTATTCCAAGGAATCATTAGGCAGCGAAGAAGAGAGTGGGAAGGATTGGGATGAACTGGAGGAAGAAGCCCGAAAAGGTAATATTTTTGTTGGGTTTTTTTGTTTGTTTATTTTTTGGTGCACAAATTTCTAACAGATTTCAGTCATTAATCAATGGAGAAAACAAGGTCAGGAATGTGTCCATATTCTCCAAGAGGCAAGACTCTGCCTAACTGGATGCTTTTTCACCTCCTCAGGCCCCAGTGGGCTCATAATCCCGAGAACACATCATCTTTCAAGGCTCCAGAACTGGGCCGTTCAGTTTCCAAATCTGCGTCCTGTAACCATCTAACTTTCTGGGCCTCTTCCAGTTAGGAATGTTTTTATAGTGCCAGTTTAATTACTCTGAAACCAAATGCCAAATATAAGTTAAAGATGAAAGGAAATATTACCTACTGTACCCCAAGCATTATGATAAGTACTTTGCATAGAGTACCTTATTTAATCCTAAAACAGTTTTCCATTTTATAAATGAACCAGGCTCGGAAAGCTTAAGTACTTGTCCAGGATCACACAATGGGTAAGTGACTGAGAGAAGATTAATGTGTAGGTTTGACTCCAGACTACATTCTCTATACTATTCCATGCTATCCAGTAGCATTAGGTACTGAAAGCTAACTTATAAGCTAACTAGTAATGCCTTTTTCTTCTGTTTAGCGGACCGTGAAAGTCGTTATGAGGAAGAAGAAGAACAGAGTCGAAGTATGAGCCGGAAGAGGAAGGCATCTGTGCACAGTTCAGGCCGTGGCTCTAACCGTGGTTCCAGACAAAGCTCCGCACCCCCCAAGAAAAAGAGGAAGTAACTTCTGAACTTTGGCCCTCAGCACCATTCTTCCTCCAGCCAACCCCTGAAAATTTTACATGACAGAAACTGTATTTTTCCTTTTTTTCTTTTGAAATTTTGCCATTTGTGTTTATGGGTTTAGGGGGCCATTTGTGTGGACCAATGTACTCGGGGAATTCCAGGCCCACCAGGACACATGCCAATGGCCCCATCCAGATGGCAAGGCAGGAGGTGTTCTTGAAGAAGGGCAGAGGCTTCCACTGTTAATAAATACCGTTTCATTCCTCTCTCTTCCTGTCACCTTCTGCCAGAACATCAGTGGCTTCTGACATCTTATTCTTTGATGTCTCATAGCTATATTTCCAAGACATTGGTACAAGGTGACCCTTAACTACCTGTACCATGGGTCTTGACCAGCAGATTTGATCCTCCATCCTACCCTACTGCCATGACCTTCCTTCCTCACATCTCTAAGTTCCATCTTTGCGTAGTACTCAAGAGCAGGTACTTGGAATTTGCTGATGAGTGTGATAAACTATACAGCTTGAGCTAGTGAGGCGGATTGGGCTGGTACCTTCATCTGAGTTTTCCTGCTTTCTTGCCTCATGCAGATTCTGAGGTATTTCTGCTGCCTTGGAAGACGTAAGAAGCAGTGACACTCCCTGGCTTGGTTTCATCCTCCTTTCAAATTCACATATGGTACATTGGTAGAAACAAAATTACCACTGTTTCTTCTCTGATATACCTGAATAAGAATGGTTGTGCCTCATATACTGCTTCTGATGGAATCTAGGAGGAGGCTGAAAGGAGTCAACATTTAAATCTGGAAGGGGCAAGAGTCATTCATGCCTTGGGCCTAGAATACCCTGATGAGAAGAGGAAGGGAGGCCACGTCTACAGCACAGCCTCTCGTCACTGCTGCTCCTTATTTTTACTTGTCTCGCATTGTCCTATATTTATCACAGTTTCTGTTGGACAGCTTTTTAAGTATTTGGGGAGTTTATCTTGCCATCCTCCCCCTCCTGGTTCTCTGCACCCACCTGTCCCGCTGCAGTTCATTCTGTGTTCTGTGACTTTAAAAGAGGAGGGGGGATCTTGGATTTTGTTTTGTTTGTTTGTTTTTTTCTCCTTAGCAGTAGGACTTGATATTTTCAATTTTGGAAGAACTAAAAGAAAAATAAACTGTGGGTTTTTTTTGTTGTTGTTTTGTTTTTATAATTCCCATTTTTGTGACAGTTCTTTGGCAGTTCGTGAAAGCAAGCCTGTTTCTTGCCTGGTCAAGTGCTAAGGTGTTAAAAATAATGCCTTCATCCAGCTAGTATCACAAAAGTCAACTTGCATATTCTAAGCTTTCCTCGTTAGGTTGAGAGATACCAGACATCACAGTAAACCAAATTCATGGTATAGCAAGTTACTTTATAAGAGACTTTTTACTATGGTTCCCTCACAGAGTTTAGAGTGGGATAGCACTTGTTTCATCACGAAAACAAATCTTCAGTCATCTCCTTGTAAATAGCATGGAAGGCAGCAGCAGCTTGAAGGGACACCTTCAGACTTCCTATTGGGGTGGCCTCGTCTACAGGGCTAACAACTGGGGAAAGGAAAAAGAAACATGTCAGGCGGCAGCAGCATTTAAGTAAACACTTAAACACCTGGTATTTGCCATGTTAGGGGCTGGGGATACTAAAATGGAGTTACTACATTTCTTAGGGGGACTCAGTCTAGTGAAGAGACAGGAAAGCATAGTTATAATACAGTAGGTGCTGTGATGAAAAGGTGCTTTGGGGACATAGCAGTGGCACCTAACCCAGAATGGAGGAATTGAAAAAAGTTTTTTGGAGACAATTGCAGAGCTGAATCTCAAAAGATATTTTAAGCATGTGCCAAGATATGAGAACATGACAAGTTTAGAAAACTGCAAGGAGTGGCAGAAATGAAGCTAGGCAGATAAGCAAGGGCCAGATCAAAAAGGGCCCTGTTTGTCTTCAAAAGAATTTGGTTTGAACTGAAGGTATTAAAAGTTACAGTATTTATTTGGGTTCTTGAAAAATGACTTCATTATTTGGAGAATATATTCGAAGGGAGCATGAGTAGATCAGGAAGGGTAATTAGGCTGTTGCAGTAATTCAGGAGAGAAATGAAGAGGTCCGAAGTATAACGGTGGAGAGGGGACAGATTCAGAACATTTAAAGAGGTAAAATTAGAATTTTGTGGTTGAATGTTGTGAGGAAAAGGTTGGAATCAAGGATGACCATTCTAACTTAAGATGGTAAAAGGAAACAAGGAATGAGGTTGTAGTTGAAGTACTAGGGGAACACAGAAGTAGTGACTTAATTTGCTGTAAGTCTAGGTTGTATTAAAAATATGGTCTAGGGCCGGCCGAGTGGCTCAGTTGGTTAAGAGCTCGCTCAAGAGGGCGAGCTCTGAGCAACAGCGGTTCGAGTCCTGGCCCGAGCCGAGCAGCCGCTGAGCTGCCAACAGGTGGCAGGATGGCTCAGCTAAAAAAAAAAAAAAAAAGGGAAAAATATGGTCTAGTAACCTAGAATTGAGATAATTTCTAGATTCTAATTAAAATCAGAATGGATGCAAATACCCAGGAAGAGGGTATATGGAGAAAAAAGCCAAGAAATGAACCAGGGGAATCCCAACATTCAAACTCAAACAACCTGCAAAGGAAACAAGGACCCCCCCAGGGAGTGATACAGTCAAAATGGCCTAAAAACCATGGAAGAACAGAGTTTAAAAGAATGAGCAATTGTATTAGAGGTTTAGAAAGGTCAAATAGGAGTAGGATGAGTAAGAAAGCCAATTGGATTTGACAATAAGGAAAATTGGTAAGAACAGAGTGACAGTGTTTGGATAGAAATTTGATCTTAATGGAAGAGCACAGGAGGTGCCAAAAGAGTATTGTGGACTGACAGACCAAATATATCAAGGAACTGAGTTTTGAAGTGATAAGGGAGAAGGCAGCTGCAGAGCTAAAAAGCAGTTTTGTTTTTAAAATCACACCAATGTGTTTAAAGCCTGAATGGAAGGGAGGCCATAATAAGGAAATTACTATAAATCTTTTAATGATAAATAAGAATTGAAAAGCATTGTCTTTAGGGACTTCAAAGTCACTAGAAAAGGTTTAAGAGGATTTCCCTTACGTACAAAGGGCATGGAGGTCAAGACGGAAGAGAATGGCTTGTTTAGGAAATAACAAAAATAGAAATTGGGAGTGAGTCAGAAAACAGCTTAACAGATATGGCACTTGCCATGTGCCAAGCACTGTCCTAAGCACTTTCCTTAATCTTCCCTTAATCCTCATGACAACTCTATGACATAGGAACTGCTATTTCATATAGTTGAAACAGGCACAGAGAAGTTAAATAACTTGCCCAATGTCAGAGTTAAGAAGGTACTAGAGGATTATAATGAAGGATCTTGTCTGCCAGCTAGTTTGAACTTTGTAACCCTTGGTTGGAAGAGTTTTCCTCAAAATTTTTTTTATTTTAATCAGTAAAAATTTTATGTCATGACTCAATAAACATGTCCATAAATCAAGTTTCACAAAATATTTACTCTGTGCAATGTACTCTGATATTTTCTACAGTTTTGGGTGTTTTTTCCCCTCAAATTCTGATTGTAACAACTAATTTAATATCACCATACATTAAACACTGGAAGTTTGAAAACCATTGGTCTAGTCTAGTGGATAATCTTAAAGCCCACTACAGCCTAGCGGCTAAGGTAAGTGTGTGAAGTCCCAGGTGTGTAAGGTTACAAGTAGTGAGGACTGGACAGAGCGGGCTCCCTGAAGGCATTCAAATGCAAATACAGTAAAACCTTGGATCGTGAGTAACGTGGTTTGTGAGTGTTCCGCAAGAGGAGCAAACATTTCTAATGCATTTTAACGTGGTAAATGAGCAATGTCTTGCAATACGAGTAGTTTGTTTCCGCAACAAATTATTCTCGCAAACCAAGGTATTACTGTATATTTAAAAACGTTGGTCTCATAGCAAACAGTCTTAAAAGTGGATTTAAGAGGAACGTGATCAATTGTGAAACACGAGTCAATGGAAATGGGGTAGAAGAAACCAGTGCCAGGAGACCAGTTCAGAAAACTGTTGGGTTGTTGGAAAAGTCATGACACATTTTTGCAAAGAAAAACAGAAAAAATACATCATGACTTTTCCGACAACCCAATATTACAGCAGTAGGGATGAGTCAAGACACTTCTGAAGTTGAATAGATAAGACTTGGTAACCAATATTGTGAGATGTGAGGAAGAAGAGAATTGGTGTCTAAGAGACTGGATATGTGATAACACATTAAAAGAAGGGGCATTAGCTGCCTTTACAAGCCTTATATGCTTAAGAGAGGCCAGAAATTCTGGTGTTTAATTTTAATTAAAAGAACTTGTATTTTCAAAATTTTCCTATCTCAAACATTGGAGATTCGTAATAGATTCCAGTTGTCATGAGGTGAAACAGACAACTGACTACTTTCACTCTTGATCTAGAAATAAATAGAGATATAGGGATTTCAATCTAGTTTGTGTCTCATCAACTTCATAGCACTAATTATATACTGAAGGTAAAACAGGACAAGTATTTATTGGGATGATTTCCTTAGAAATAAGTGGAACTGAGAAGCACGAAAATGTATTACTCACTCTCTAGCTCTTGCTCTAGAATGTCTCTTCCTGATTCCATGATCTGCCGCAGTTCCAGATATGCGTATCCTACTTCCTGACATTCTTCGTTTTCATCATCCATAGGATCACTTACCACTGTAAACTTTAAACTAAAGGAAAAACATTCCATTTAACTCAGCACTCCTGATAACCTTAGGCTTTAAAAAGAAAAACAAGGTTAAAAGTAATCATAAATTATACAATGTCTTCCCTGAATCACTTTTCCCTTCCCTCCATTTTACAAGACTACAACAGCAAAATAGTGGGTTGGTATAATTTAAAGTAAAAACAAGCCTTCCTTCAGAAGAGGGAACTACGATTCCAGATAATGTAACTGGTCAAATTGTCTCAAAACTGGAGATATAATTTCTTGTAAGATGGTTTACAATTCTGATGAAATATTGATATGGGCTGTGGAAGTGTTGCACAAAAATCAATATTACAGAAGTTAGAAAAAGAGGTTTTCAATTTTTAAATGTAAATTGGGTAACAAGCCTGAGCAGAGTAGGGGAAACAGAAGGAATACAGAATTGCAAAACCATTATAAACCCTAAAGTTGTTTTCCTTAGAGTTGTAAATTCAAAAGATGATGCTTGTCAAGCACACAGCACAGTGCCTCACGAGCAGTGAACAGGCAACATAAATATTATCTTGACTTAGCCTAGCAAAGAATGACATTGAATTCCAGAAACTGGTACCTCTTAAATTTTTTGAGATGACTCACATGCCATTAATTCATTATTTTAGCCATTTTAAAGTGTACAATTTAGTGTTTTTTAGTACCACCACAATGTTGTGCAGCCGTCACCTCACTCTAACTCTAGATCACATACATCACCCCTCCAAAAATTCCTATACCCATTAAGCAGTCATTCTCCATTCTCCTCTGCCTCAGCTCCTGGCGACCACTAATCTACTGTCTGTCTCTTGATTTGCCTATTCTGGACATTTTATAATCCTATTAATTTTTAACAGCAAATCTTGGTGACTAATAGAGGGTGCTAAGGGAGCAAGAATAGGACTAAAAAATTCAAGCTCTTAAAATCATGACTAAAGACGATTAAACTAAAATTTTAAAACTCTAAAAATGAAACATTCTTAGCCCATAAAGCAGTATACATTTGTGATTATGTTTCTGTATCATTACTGAGAACTTCAACAATGCAAAGGGATAATATTGTCACCCCCACCCCAATTTTTCTAGGTCAGGGTTGGTAACTGTCATGGTCACATGCTGGACACAATGCCAAGTACTTTAGGTAAACTATGTTATTTTCATTTTATTCTCACAGGAGCCTTCAAGTTAAGTAATAACTCAGAGATCACAGAACTAGTAAGTAGAAGAGTCAGGATTCAGGATTCAAAACCAGGTCTGTCTGATTACAAAGACAATGTCCTATCCACTGTACCATACTGGCAAAAACAAGTCAGAGAGAAAATCAATTGAAATCAAATTGATTAGAAGGCTACAAAAAGAAAAGAAAAAGGTTACCAATGTAAAGGAAAAAAAGATGAGAGAGTTCTAGGAATTTGGAGAAAAAGGAAAAGAAAAAGCTAAATTTAACATTAATGTCGAAGGGAAACAACCAAATCACTTTTCATTCCAAAAGTTACCAGTAAGCTTATATTTGTTTAAAAAGTCCACAGTGATATTGACGTCAGATTCACTGTATATTTCAGTGAAAAGTGGCTTCTTTTTCAGTTATTTCTATGACTAACTGCAGATGAAGTAAATGCAAATTAGACAAACTTATTGGGCTTTTAAAAAAGTAATGGATTAAAACACCGGCCCTGGACCAGTCGAGTGGCTCAGTTGGTTAGAGTTGGCTTGGGAGCGCAAGCTCTGGGCAGGCCGCCAGTTCGGATCCCACATGGGGGCCAGTGACGCTGCGCCCTCTACAGCTAAGATAGTGAACAACAGCTGGACCTGGAGCTGGGCTGCCGAGAGTTGCCAGCGACGGCATAGGCTGCAGTGGGCTGCCATGAGCTACCGTGAGTGGCTGGCAGTCAGCATGAACGGCTGGCAGCCGTAAAAGCTGCCATGAGCCGCCATGAGCAGTTGTTCAATGGCTGGTGAGAGGCTGCCTCAGCCTGGAAGAGCGAAATGATCACAATACCAACATGGGCCAGTGAAGCGACGTCTTCCACAACTAGACTGAAGACCAAAAGGACAGCAACTTGTCTGTTCTCCTTGCCGATTCCACGACGCTGTTCCCTCTCCCAATTCCCCAATAGGATTTAAAAAACAAACAAAACAAAACACCAGAGCCATGTTAATTTCTTACGCACACATGGAAAGGAGGTAGAGTTGCCAGGTTTTGCAAAACAAAAAACAAAAGAAAACCCCAAACACATGCCCACTTAAATTTGCATTTCAAATTTCAGCTAAACAATGAATAATTGTTTTAGTATAAGCATATCCTGTGTGTTTCACTTGGAACCTCTAAAAGGAGGCCTCCTCAGATTACAGGAATAATAAAGACAATTGGCTTTCCTAAAACTTATAATAGGCCTAGAATTTACTTCAGTTATATCAAAGTATTTCCTGTAGAGAATTTTTAAAATCTAAATATAAAATTAATATTATAGAGGCATAATATTTGGTAACCTAGCAACGGTACCGTGTTTGTGAGAAATGAATCAAATTATCTTAGAATATCAATGTCGAAGTGCCTTATCCATTCCATGTAGGGCACTGTCAGTACTCAAGTAAGTTACTGCCTCAAAAAAAGCACTTGTCAGGGGCTGGTATGGGTGAGAAATGAACTAAACCTGTGAGAGTATATACTTTATCAGGTAGTCACAAACACAAATTAGATTCAAGTGATGGGAAATTCATGAAGAGTAAATTAATATAAGATATATTATTTTTTTTATATTCAGTATCAGCACAAAAACAAACTAAAACTACCGGATTTCTGTGTGAATATCTTCTTTCCTTCAAAGTGGAGAGCAGCTGCTTACCGTCCTTGCTCAGGATCCTGTCTATTCAGCATGGCGAACAGAAATTGCCTTCGGCTTCTTTGCTCCAGTGGGTCCAGGTCTATCACTGCATTAAGGGTAAGAAGGGAAAAAAAGCAAAGAATCATATACTTTTGCTATTTGGGCATTAAGGCTTTCATTAGTGGTATATATAAAACAGAGGCTGGAAAACTAGGGCCCGTGGGCTGGCCACCTGTTTTCATAGTTTTACTGAACACGGCCTTACCTATTTGTTTACATATTATCTAAGTCTGCTTTCCAAATGTCATGATAGAGTTGGGTAGTTTTGATAAAAATTGGCCCACAAAGACTAAAATATTTACTATCTGGCCCTTTAAGAAAACATCTGTAAACCCCTGATATAAACGAATCCTTATAATTTGCATTGAAAGCTATTCTGCCATATACCAAGATAAATGTGCTCCTCCCATTTCACGGCTAGAAGAATTCCAGGAAACTGATTGTTTTTAGGGCTGCCTAGAGATCTGGGTTTTGTGGCAGGTTCAACTCAAGGTGCTTGTCTCAACATTCATTCCCCACTTCCTCCTCATTTTTATATGGGAAATTGGCCTATGTCTTCCAGCCTCTACTTTAGCTAGGTTTGGCCATGTGATTAAGTTCTAGCCATTATATTGTGTGAAACCTGCTTAATAGGTTCAGCTGAGAGGTTGTCTTCCTTTCCCCAGCAGCCACTAAGGACCATGGGGTAACCAAAAGGATGAAAGACAGGCACTTTGATTAATGGAAGCAAGATAGAAGTTTCAATCGCTGATGGTATCACATAGCCTCAGCCCTGGACTGCCCACCTCTGAACTCTTGTTATACACAGGTGAGAAATAAACTTCTATCTAGTATTATGTAAGGACAGGATATACTAAAAAAAAAAAAAAGAATAGAAAACAAACAGCTCTTAGAAATTTAAAATATTCAGTCAATGACTGGAAGATAAAATTAAGGAAATCTCCAAAAAAATTGAAAGAAAGAAAAAAAAGAGGTAGAATTATAGGAAGAAAATGATAAAAATTAGAGGATCAATTTGGAAGATCCAAATTCTACTTTTAAAAAATGAGAAAATGTCGGGGACAGAATTATCTAAGAAACACTTCTCAGAATTAAAAGCCATGAGCATCCAGACTGAAAGAGCTCCCTGAATAACCAGAACAATTAAAGAAAAAATAAGGGCACCCCAGTCGGGACCCCTTCTCATTTTGAGAGCTGTTATTTTCTACTCTAATAAACAGTCCTCTGTTACAAACTTAAAAAATAAAAAAAGAGGAAGAAGAAAAAATATGCACATTACTATGAAATCTAAGAACACTAGAGATAAAGAGAAAATGTTAAAGCCTTTGGGGAGGAAGAGGATAGTGTTCGTATAAAGGTTACACTCTTGGCCTAGATCTAGAAAACCATGGACCAACTGCTTTGAAATTCTGAATACAAATGTTTTCAACATAGATTTGTATATGGTTTAATTATCAATCAAATATATGGTAAAGTAAAGAGATTTCAAGCATGATTGTCTCAAAATATTTACTTCTAATGTACCCTTTCTTTAAAAGCTACTGGAAAATATGATCCATTAAAATAAGAACGTAAATCAGACAGAAGACAGGAAATCTAGCAGAGGAGAAAATTAAATAAAAATCTCTAAATGGCAGCAGTGGGATAATAGCTGAACGGTGGGCTAGAAAGGAACAAGAAGATGTAGAGAAGTCTTCAGGAAAATTAATAGACAAATTATTTGACAGGTTTGAGTATTGGAAAATTTGGAAAGGCTGATGGAGGCTGGAAAAAAATTACAATGGGTATAATGAAAATAAAGCAAATAAAAAATTGAGGCAAGCAAAATCATAAACAAAAAAGGAAATATAATCATAGTGTACTTCTTGGCTTGACTTTGCAAGAATTAATATTTACATATCCATAATAGATATAGTTAAGGTTGGGTTAAATAAAAATTATGATCCAACTATATGGGAGGAAGGGAACATGGATGTGGTGTAAGGGAGAGAAACATTACACTCCAAAATAGGAAGTCAGCCGATAACCTCTAAAATTGGTGAATCAGGAAATTGCAATAGAATCATTACTCAGAAATATGGAGTTAAATAATAGAAGAAATAACAGGAAAAGGGAAATGTGGTATGATGGACTGAGGGGGAGTGAGAGGGATGAGAGGGAGTGATTTGTGGAGAGGGTGTGGGGCAAAGAACTGTTTAGTTTTAATTTAAAATCCTTTTAAACCTATTTGATATTTTAAACTATATGCACATATTATTAAAATGAAAGAGTTGGAGGGGCGGCCGGTTAGCTCAGATGGTTAGAGCATAGGCTCATAGCACCAAGGTTGCCGGTTCGATCCCCACATGGGCCACAGAGCTGTGCCCTCCACAACTAGACTGAAGACAACTACTTGACTTGGAGCTGATGGGTCCTGGAAGGACGCACTGTTCCCCAATAAAATTAAAAAAAAAAAATGAAAGAGTTGGATCCACCCCATCAAAAGTCCAGAGTAGTTCTGACCCCTTGGTCTAAAAGTCAGTCAGCCTCCTCTTCCTGCTGATCACAGCGGGTGCCTCACCCTTGCTAAAATGGAAGTAGATCTCTTCTCCTGCGTTCGGTTTCCTCAGGGATATTGGAGTCTCCGTCTCTGACAAGGGTAGGTCATAGAACTTGTACTCCACGTACACCTGTTTTATGTTCTTATCAGACATCACTTCAGCTTCTGAGTAGAAGGCCAGGCTGACAATTTCAATGCACATCTTCTCTGAAGCCTGATGAGAAAAAAGGCATGTATTTCTTATAGGTTAGTGAAGCTCAAAGTGCATATACTCCATGAATTAACACATTACTTACTCTCTAAGAATCAATCACAGGCCTGCTGTACCTAACATATTATTCCTTGAGAATCAAGTTATAGGTAAAACTGGCACCAAGAGACAACTTGACTGACTTTCCCAGCTAATATGTGGGAAACTTGTAAAGAGGACCCAGTTGTTCTATCTCCTGGTCCAGTAAATCATTTCCCCAGACCAGCCTTTCTCAGTAATCTCCACATATAGAAAGAATCAAGACACTTTCCAAGCATATAGCCTTCCTTCAACTTTCTTAATGAAAACAATCCAGCATTTTCCTAAGAGACTTGCCGATTGATATTGGATATTTAATAGTTATTTTAGCCACTACGGCAAACAGCTGCCCAGTGCTTCCTGTGCCCACCTAAGTGCAGGCCACAGAGCAGGACATAAGACCATGCTGTCCTCCAGTACTTTTCCCAATGCTTCAGAGTCACAGCCACTGTTCTCTTTTTTTATTGTCCCTGTGTCTACTTTCAAATTAGGGATACCAGGAAGAGGGTTGAAATCTCTCTAGTTTCAGGAAGTGAACTGAGGCCAAGGTAAGTCCCTTCTTTCCACAGTTTGGCAGCAAGTTAGTGTCATAGCACTAGTAAGGAATCAATCCAGGATGGCCCCCTACCAGCCGGTTCTCCCCTTCATCTGTGAGTGCCCCCTGGCTGCTGCTTTCCTCCAGGGTGCCAGGCCAACGCCCTCACTTCTCCAAAGAGCTGCCCCCACCCCCTTTTCTTCTCTTAGGAAAGAAGTGGAGCTTCTGTGCCTTCTCCTAGGTAGTTCAGGATACTATATTTCTCAACAAATCTGCAGCAAGACAATTTGAGTAACTCTTAAAAATAAAGATACTTGGTGTTTCCCTCTCAATAGTCCCACACAACCTTTCTCAACACCCATCATGAAAACCATTGATTCTATACACTGTTTTCCAAAATGTGGGTTTTGACACTGATGGGTCAGCTTAGTGGTTTCACCAGCTTTTTTTTTTTCTTTTTTAAAGACTTTTTTTTTTTAAACTGGGGAATTGGGGAAAGGGATGGTGTTGATTAATTGGAAGAGGGAACATTGTGTTTTTCCAGGACCTATCAGCTCCAAGTCAATTTGTTGTCCTTCAAGTCTAGTTTCCACTTTCAATCTAGTTGGGGGGGGGTGCAGCCCACCAACCTATGCAGGAATCAAACCAGCAACCTTGTTGTTAAGAGCATGTGCTCTAACCAACTGAGCCATCTGGCCGCCCGGCAGCAGCTTACAGTCACTCAGCTCAAGGTGCAGAGTTCAATTTTAGTTGCAGAAGGGCGCAGCCCACCATCCCATATGGGAGTCGAACTGGCAACCTTGTTAGGAGCACACGCTCTGAACAGCTGAGCCATCCAGCCGCCCATTTGCAGCTCAGCAGCAGCTCACTTGGGGCGCAGCTCACTGGCCTATATGGGAATCAAACCAGGGACTCTGCTGCTCAGAGCTTGTGCTCTAACCAACTGCACCACCCGGCCGGCCCTTCACTAGCATTTTTTTAAATAAAAGAATAAAATAAGATAGGATAGGATAGGATAGAATAGAAAATAATAGAAAATAAAAAAATAAAAAATATAAAACCAGATGCTTGCTGATTCTAAATACTATGAAGAAAATAATTTGGGTGATAATAATAGAAAATCATAGGAAAAGTTGAGTTAAATAAATTTTATATAATCTGCATAAATATGGATTTCTGATCATTTGCAGACTGCATCAAATTTATTCTGTCTCCTCCTCAGAGAAGCCTTTCTTTATTGCCTTACCTAACTCAACTCCTCTCATAATTATCTATTATTATCACCCTATTTATGTGTTTTCACCCTACATACAAGTGTATGTTTTCCCTCAGTGGAATGTAATATTCAAGAGGGAAGGGACCATTTTCACCTTATTCACCATTTTGTGTGCACAGAGCCTGGCAAACAGGCACTGTGTAATTACTTTTTGAAGGAGCAAAACAACTCACAGGGTTGCTATGAATATCAAACACAGCGTAAAAGCTCAACCAGCATTGCACGTTGAGATCTGTCTCAGCAAAAGGACATATAGTATTTTATTGGCATACTGATCAGCAGTTAAGAGAAATTAACTAGAAAAAGCTAAATATATTGATATCAATGGACTACCAACACATTACTGATTGAAAAATGCATGTTTCAGAATAATATGTATCAAAAAAGAAAATGGGGAAAATTAGGTGAAAAGTACATGGCAACTCCCTGTACATTTTTTGCAACTGTCTACAAATCTATAATTATTTCAAAATAAAAAGTTTTTTAAAAGAATAATATGTACAGTTCAATGTCATTTATTTGAAAGCAAAAAAGACAAATACAAAACAGTATGAATGCTAAAGTTCTGTTTTTTAAAAAGATCTGAGGGCCAGTTGAGTGGCTAAGTTAGTTAAGAGTGTGAGCTCTCAGCAATGGGGTCGCAGTTCAATTCCCACATGGGCCAGTGAGCTGCACCCGAGATGAGCTGCCACTGAGCAGCCAACAGGTGGCAAGATGGCTCAACTGGTGAGGGCATGTGCTCCTAACAACAAGGTTGCCAGTTCACTCCCACATGGGATGGTGGGCTGCATACCACCACAACTAAGATTGAACATGACACCTTGAGCGGAGTGACTGTGAGCTGCCGAAGGGGGGACGGATGGCGACTAGACTTGGAGCTGAGCTATCTGCACCCTCCACAACTAAGATTGAAGAACAACACTTGGTTGTTCCTCTTCCCCAATTCCCCAACACTGTTCCCTTCCCACAATTCCCCAATAAAATCTTAAAAAAAAAAAAAAAAGATCTGAAAAGACACACCCTAAAATACAAAACAATGGTTTTATTGGGCGAGAGGGGTGGGGAGAAGCAATAGGGATTATAGGTAGTGGTCAATAGAGATTTAGCTTTATCTGTAATATTCTAGTTTTTAAAATAAAAATATATTCTTACCTTACTTGTGTAATTTAATTTAAAATTTTTTTAACTTGCAAATAATCCTACAGCAAATGATTAGAAATCCATATTTCTGCAATAGTCAAATTTATTCTGATAACAAAGGTGAATTAGGAGGATGAAAAAGATTAACACTTGAGCCAGGTACACATGCAGGCTTTAGGTTGAACCATATAAAACTGATAATAGTCCACCATTTTTTATCTATAAAAATGATAATTTCATACGGTTTGTTACCGACTGAATGTTTGTGTCCCCATTGAAATTCAAATATTGAAACCCTGTTCCCAATGTGATGGTATTTGGAGGTGGGGCCTTTGGGAGGTAAGTAGGTCATAAGGGTGGACCCCTCATGAGTTGGATTAGTGACCTTATAAAGAAGAGGTCAGAGCTCGCTAGTTCTCTCCCTGTCATGTGAGGAGAGGATACAATGAGAAGTTGGCAGTCTGCAACTGGAAGAGGGTCCTCACCAGAATCTGACCATCCTGGCACAGGCTTCCAGCCTTGAGAACTGTGAGAAATAAGTTGCTGTTGTTTATATGCCACCCAGCCTCTGGTACACTTTGTTATAGCAGCCCAAATTGACTAAGATATGGTTTAATATTTTAATTTGATCCAGCATCTTTTACACAAGCTAGTTCCATTACATAATTTTATTGGAACTGAACAGCAAACAGAGAAAAAAGAAGTATATATTAGTAATATTAAACCACATTCACCACTGTATATACTAACTCATTTGAACTTGCTGGCAGAAGCTCTAAGAACAGTTACACAGCACTAATGCCGGCCTGACAGTTCCCTTGGGCTTATTAATTCAGGTGTGCTAGCTAATTTGGCTGGGAGGTGGAGTTACTAAAAGTAATTAGCTAGCATATATAAGGGGTCAGGACACCCTCCACCTGAAATTAAGAGTATAATAAAAGCAAATAAACTTTGAGGTTCTTGATACCTACTACAGTTAAATGAGAGTAACCTGAGGCCACAGAGCAACTGGAGACGATTGCTTCCTTCTCATTAGTACCTGTTAAGAAGAGGAGGGAGAAGTTTCCTGTGGTTCATTCACAGTGGGAGATTGATTCCTGGGACCAGGAATGGGACTTCTTCAGGAGGAAACCAGGTTTGGGTTGAGATAATTTCTTGGGGGTTTTTAGAGGGAAGGTAAGCACAGAACCTTGTGCTGATTAATAGAGCCTCCTGGGGAGCAGTCCTACACACATCCTATGAACACAGGAACTGCCCTAATTCTGCACTCAAAGAGAGGGTGTTAAAGATCCATATGTATTGTGATTGTTTCACTTTTTTAGCAGTATCCAGGAAAGGCATTTATTTTGGAAGGACCTTCTTTAAGTTGTACTATTCAGCCTATTCAATTGAGGGCCAGCTGAGTGGTTAGGAGTTGACTTGGGATACCAGCTCTGAGCAGCAGGGCCCCGGTTTGGATCCCACATGAGGGCCAGTGATGCTCCGCCCTCTACAGCTAAGATGGTGAACAACAGCTCAACCTGGAGGTGGGCTGCCGTGTGACACCGGCGACAGTGTAGGCTGCAGTGGGGCTGGCCAGCAGTGGGCATGAGCTTTCATGAGCCACCGTGAGTGGCCGTCCAATGGCCAGTGAGCTACTGCCTCACCCAGGAAGAGCACAATGATAATACCAACATGGGCCAATGAAGCGACATCCTCCACAACTAAACTGAAGAACAAAAGGACAGCAACTTGTCTGTTCCCCTTCCCTGATTCCCCAGTGCTGCTCCTCTCCCCCAATTCCCCAATAAAATCTTAAAAAACAAAAACCAAAAAAAACCTATTCAATTGATCTGGCAGGCAGGAGAGAAATGACACCCCTGTTTCAATCCCCGCCCCTTAGGGCCTAGTTTTTGTAGGGGCCACTAGCAGATGATAGAAGCTTGACTTTGAGAACTAGAATATTTCAGAGAAGATAGACTATGCCATCATCATCATTATCATTTAGTGCTTAATTTGTCTTAGGCATTGTATCAAAACCTTGCCAGGGAGTCACTAAAGTGGGAAGAGTTGTGGTCACTAGGTTAATGTAGACTCTGGTTTGGTGCCAATGCTGAGCCTGGATCTACTCAGTAAGTCTCAGAGCACATTAAGGCCAGTTGTTGCTTGCCTGGGGCCTGTGGACTGATAGTTTTCCAAGAAAGAATGCAATGCGGGCAGGGCTGGCTGCTCGCAGAGCAAGTGCCTCCAGCAGTGGGTGAGTTGGATGGGGCATGGTCCCACCTGAGTCAGCCGGGTGGATTAGCAGAGCTCACCAGGCCAATCAGATTCAGATTTGGCCTGTGGAGGCGGGCTCAACATGGAAAAGCTGGTGCCTGCCTGCCTGCCTGCTACTTAGGAGGAAGACCCCGTGGAAACTGTCGACTGTCCTCCAGCCCTCACCCTGCAGCCACACACCTTAGTCTGTCCCCCATGTCTCCAAGTCCTCCTGAGTCACTCCACTGGAACCCAAGGTGAGTGCCTGGGAGTGAGAGAATCTGTGTGTGGGACCTTTAAGGCTTCTGGTTTTCCCGCAGCCTTCCATCCCACCCAGATGGTCAGAATCCCCACTGTTTTTCACAGCTAGATGTTGTGGGTGCTCCTCTTCCCAGCACCAGTATTCTTGGCTGGGGAGGCCGGTGTGGAGCTGGGATCTCTTGCTCCTTCAGGGGGAACCTCCGTGGCCGAGATATCTCTCCTGGTTCTCAACTGCCACATCAATGTTTGGGGCCAGCTGGATTCACATCTCCACTCCTCCTACCAGTCTCAATGTGGCTTTTTTATATCCTTGGTTATAAAACTTCTGTTCAGTCAGACTTTAGATGGTTCTCCTGTTAATTGTTCTATAATTTAGTTGTAATTTTAATGTGTTCGTGGAAGGAAGCAGGCACAGTGTTTATCTACTCCACCATCTTGGATCTCCCCCCAGAGTAATTTTTTTTAAATTGGGGTATTGGGGGAGGGGAACAGCATTGGGGGGCTCAGGGAAGGGGAACAGACAAGTTGCTGTCCTTTTGTTCTTCAGTCTGTTGTGGAGGACATTGCTTCACTGGTCCATGTTGGCATTATCATTGCGTTTTTACTGGGTGAGGCCTCTGGACGGCCGCTCATGGCGGCTCTTGGCAGCTCACACCGGCTGCCAGCCGCTCACACTGGCTTCCAGCCACTCACGGTAGCTCATGGCAGCCCACTGCAGCAGAGGCTGCAGCCTACGCTGTCACCGTTGACTCACGGCAGCCCAGGTCCAGGTCAAGCTGTTGTTCACCATCTTAGCTGTAGAGGGCAGCGTCACTAGCCCTCATGTGGGATCCAAACCGGGGCCATGCTGCTCAGAGCTGGCATCCCAAGCCAGCGCTTAACCAATGCACCACTCGGCCGGCTCTAGAGTAATATTTTTAATGGAATCTTCTACCTTCTTGTCGGGAGCCATTTAAGAGCAGTGAGACTGCGAGCTCATAAAGCTGCAGGCCTCCATGTTCTGTATGCTAAGAAAGCTACAGAACTCCATGATGGGTGAACAGCAAAAAGGGGAACTGCTGGTGAGACATCTTACCCAGCCACAGCCACTTCACCTCCTGTGCCATGGAAAAGCAGAAGTCCCCTGGAACTGAAACCACTGGACACTTGGAAAGCATTTTCTAAATATGGACTCACATGCTTTGGGACTTCCCACCATGGACTTGTTGACAGTTTCTATTTGCCTTAGTTTAACCTTGCTTAAAATATATCATTGGTTTATGTTGTTACTCGTTGCTGGTAGAAATTGTTTCTGCAAACCCCCAAAACCTGACATAAGGGACATTGGTTCCCCATTCCCCAAAAACCCCTGCCAAAATCCCCTATGCTGTTAGGGAATTTTTCCCTACAAAAGGGGAAATTGCTTTCTCTATATAACCAGTGTGTAACCAATAAATGGTGGCACTCTCCGCCACCAGCGGTAGAGCATCCCTCCTGATCCCAGCTTTTGTCTGTGTCTTTCTTCTCTACTTGGTTTCTTCCATTTCTCAATCTCCCACCTAGTCCGTTCAGGGACCCTTTAGGTACCTGGCTAGCATGTGCCAGGTTGCCACTTTCCAGTCGAGAGGGTCTTGGCACCTTCTAATTCAAAAATTTGCTGACCAGCTGGCTGCTCTTTGGGTTGATCTGAGGTGGCACGGTTTAGAAACCTTGACAGGAGTTCCAGCCCCTTCACTAGCTCTATAATCCTGGACACATCATTTAATCTTTTTCACCTTTATGATCTCTCAGGTGTTTGTGTTCTAGTTCTAACATTCAATGGCTCTGATTTGTCTTATAAACATTTTTCAAGACGTTAATTACATAACATCAAGATAAGATGACAGATAAAAGTTCAGAAGATAAACTTAACAATTTGCCTAGTAACTGTTTAAGTCTACTTTTTTTTAGTTGTTTCTCCCCACTCCAATATCCTTTATTTTCCTGCAAATCCTCAGTACAAGTTCTGACTTTCAAGGAAGAGTTTTCTGTCCTCTGCAAAAGCAACAATGATTTCCCGTTTTTGAATTTTTAAAAACCTTAGAGTTTATAGGACCGGCCAAGAGGCTCAGTTGGTTAAGAGCTCGCTCAAGAATGCGACCTCTGAGCAACAGCAGTTTGATTCCTGGCCCAATCTGAGCTGCCACTGAGCTGCCAACAGGTGGCAGGATGGCTCAGCTAAAAAAAAACAACAACAAAAAACAAACAAACAAACACTTTTTCCGATCCGCCATCTGTGGTGGAATTGCCGCCAGGATGCAGATTTTCATGAAAACCCTTACTGGGAAGACCATCACCCTCGAGGTTGAACCCTCAGATACAATAGAAAATGTAAAGGCCAAGATCCAGGATAAGGAAGGAATTCCTCCTGATCAGCAAAGACTGATCTTTGCTGGCAAGCAACTGGAAGATGGACATATCTTGTCTGACTACAACATTCAAAAGGAGTCCACTCTTCATCTTGTGTTGAGACTTCGTGGTGGTGCTAAGAAAAGGAAGAAGTCTTACACCACTCCCAAGAAGAACAAACATAAGAGAAAGAAGGTTAAGCTGGCTGTCCTGAAATACTATAATGTGGACGAGAATGGCAAAATCAGCCGCCTTCATCGGGAGTGCCCTTCAGATGAATGTGGTGCCGGAGTTTTTATGGCCAGCCACTTTGACAGACATTATTGTGGCAAATGTTGTCTGACCTATTGCTTCAACAAACCAGAAGACAAGTAATTGTATATGGTTTAATAAAAGACATGAACTAAAAAACAAAACAAAACAAAAAACAAACAAACAAAAACCTTCAAGTTTATCGTACATAATCTACCCACTTGATTCTAGGTCACCTATATTTTTCTTTATTGTTTCTAGTGAAGTTCATAACCCTCAATTAGATTTTAATGTGTCATTCAGTCACTCATTCAACAAATATTTACTGAGCACCTACAAATGTGCCAGGGAGGATTCTAGTGGCTCAAGAAAGTGATTGTTTTCTACCTCATTTATACCCCCACAAGTTTCTAATACAATGATTGTTGAATATACTTGCAGATATTTTTGCATATGTTTGTGTATGTGTATCCTCAATTAGTTCCAAAACAAGATTTGAGACTGAAATATTTAATATGGAATTGTAATGACAGGTTTTAAAGGTTGAGTAAAAAATTTCAGAAACTGAATGATCCTGCTGATCACCTCCCAGGAAGAATCCTTTCCTCCTTCTTCCAGCTTCCCTCTCCCAAAGTAAACCTAGTCTCCTTAGGTGGGTTTTAAGAAAAGGGCATCACTCCAGCTAGGGATGAATCACAGTATGCAATGAAGAACACAGGCAAGGGATCCAAATAGGAGAGAAAAATTTTGAAGCAAGTCCTCATTTACACCACATCAAGAAAATAATCCTTTCATCTGACTGCATCAACAGACTTCCATTCACACGCAATGTATATTTCACTAAATAACTTCAGTTTCCCACCAGGTTCATTAAAACTGAATTTAAACTTCACATACATGGCCATTAAGAAGCACAATAACTTTCATTATTTACAACCTTGTCTCAAACTCCATAATTACCCCAATGTACTTACTGGCTTAGGACATGTCTGAGATACAGGTATCACTACGTCATCACTGTCTGTAGTTTGTGCTTCACTGACTTCAGAAGCTTGTTCACAGGATTCTTTATCTGCTAGAGAAGAGGCTGGAGTTATGGACTGTTTCAGAGCACCCTATCTAGCCCAAGAAAAGACCCAGCACCTACATCATTAATCCACTGTCTGGCCACTAGTTCTGAGTACCTAGATTTTGGCTACATTTATTAAGAACCAAACCTTCTTTTTTCAAAGATTCACTGATTTGGAGGCTTTCCAAACACTCAGGGTTTACTTCTGAAAAAAAAGAGAGGGAAAGAAGGAAGAAAGGAAGCAAGTTTGGGCTGGAGGAAATGATCAAGCCAAGGAAAAGCAGTGTGTGGCAGATTGCATTTTCCAAAGACAGCCTCAAACAATACCTCCCATCCCACATGCTCCCTTTACAGTGTGACCTTGACACCTTTTTTTTTTTTTAAAGATTTTTATTGGGGAATTGGGGGGATGGGAACAGTGCTGGGGAATTGGGGGAAGGGGAACAGACAAGTTGCTGTCGTTTTGTTCTTCAATCTAGTTGTGGAGGATGTTGCTTCACTGGCCCAAGTTGGCACCATCATTGTGCTCTTCTCTGGCGAGGCAGACCAGTCGCCGGCTTCTGGACGGCTGCTCACTGCGGCTGCTGGCCGCTCACGCTGGCTGCTGGCCACACATGGTAGCCCATGGCAATCCACTGCCACAGGGACTGCAGCCCACGCCGTCGCCGGCGACTCATGGCAGCCCAGCTCCAGGTTGAGCTGTTGTTCAGCATTTTAGCTGTAGAGGGCAGTGTCACTGGCCCTCATGTGGGATCCGAACCGGGGCCCTGCTGCTCAGAGCTGGCGTCCCAAGCCAACTCTTAACCAACGCGCCACTCGGCCGGCCCCTTGACACCTTTTATTGGCCATTCGAATTTCCTTTTTGTAGAGTGCCTTTCAAATCTTTTCTCATTTTCCTATTGGGTTGTCTTTTTCTTATTGATTTGTACAAGTTCTGTATTTTTTCTGAATTTGAGCCCTTTGATGGTTACATGTATTACAAATGTCTTTTCCGCTCTGTAGCTTGCCTATTTAATCTCTTACTGAACAGAAATTCTTACTTTTAAGGTAGTCAGTTTTATCATTATTTTTCTTTATGATTATTAGTGCATTTAGTTTCTTATTAAATCTTTCCTTATTCTAAATGATGAATAGAGCTGTTATGAGTATTTGTGTACAAGTCCTTGGGTAGAGAAATGTTTTCATGTCTCTTGCGTAGATACCTAAAAGTAGAATTGCTGGGTTGTAAACTATATATTTAACTTTTTAAGACACAGCCAAATATTTTTTTCAGAGTGGCTGTACTATTTTAAATTCCCACCAGTAATGTATGTGGTTCTAATTTTTCCACATCCTCACTGACACTTGGTACAATCAGCTTCTAGAACATATCAATTCTAGTTGGTGTGTACTGATATCTCACTGTGGTATTATTTTGTATTTCTCCTAATGACTAATGATGTTGAACATATTTTTGTGTGTTTTTTTAGCTATTCATATACCTTTAGTGTTAGGAGCCATGCAGGCTGGCTTAGCTGAAGCATAACTTGTTTTGCTTCTTGTTTTGCTCCTTTCTGCACCTGGAGGGTGCTTACTTAACCTTGAGGTATGTGGTGAGAATGGCCAGTTCCTTGGAAGACACAATAAGATAGAGGGCTATCTGGGTTTAGGGAAAGTGTCCTGGGAAACTGACTCCCTAAGGTCCCTCTGACCTTGAAGTTTCTAGTAGATAGCTAATGATGTACTTTTGAATGAGGTAATGCATATTTGTCCCTTCTGTTTTGCACATACCCTGGATGTATATAATGGTGAAGGGAAATAAACTCAAGGCTGGTTGCTAAGAATGCTTCCAGTCCTCCTGGACCCCCTTTGTCTCTTTCTTTCTTTCTAAGCCTCACCCCCCACTTCAGGTGTTGTTCACTGGAATGCGGAGGCAGGACCCCGGCACTTTAGTGAATGCGTATTCAAACCTGTTGACTATTTAAAATTAGGTTGTCTTGTTATTGAGTTTTAAGAGTGCTTTATAGATTATAGACATAAATTCTTTATAAGAAATGTGATTTGCAAATATTTTCTCTTAGTCTGTAGCATATCTTTGTTTTCATAATATGTCCTTGAAGAACATATTTTTTCATTTTGCAAAAGTCCAATTTATCAATTTTTTATTTTATGAATCATGCTTCTGATCTCATATCTAAGAAATCTTTGTCTAATCTAAGGTTAACTATTTTATCCTATGTTTTCTTTTAGAAATGTTATAGTTTTGATTCTAATATTTAGGTTTATGATCTATTTTGGTTAATTTTGTTTATTATGTGAGGTAAGTCTACATTTTTTTTTCTGTATGTGGATATCTGATTGTCTCAGCACCATGTGGTGGAAAGATTAGATTTCCCCATTGAATTGCCATGGAACATTTGTGGAAAATCAATTGACCATAAATATAAGGGTTTATTTCTGGATTTCAATTGTTTCACTGATCTTTAAGTCTATCTTAATGCTAATACCACACTCTCTAAATTACTGTTGCTTTATAGTAAGTTTTGAAATCAGATAGTACAAAAATTTCAGCTTTGTTCTTTTACACAATTGTTTTGTCTTTTCCAGGTTCTTTGCATTTCTATATAAATTTTGGGGAGAATTGCCATCTTAACAATTATGAATGGTCCAATCCATAAACATGGTACAAATCTCCATTTATATGAATCTTCCTTAATTTCTCCCAGGAGCTTTTGTAGTTTTTAGTATACGGGTCTTATATTTCTTTTGTTAAATTTACTCCTAAATGTTTTATTCTTCTGGATGATGTTGTGAATTGTTGTAATTGCTTTCTTGATTTAATTTTTCAATTGTTCATTGATAGTATATGAACATACAATTGATTTGGGTATATTGATTTATATCCTGCAACCTTGTTCACCTGCTTTTTGTTCTAGGGTTTGTTTTTTTCTTTTTTCAATTTTTTGTAGATTATTATGGTTTTTGAATTCAGAGTCATGTCAACTGCAAATAAAGACAGGACCACTCCTTTATTTTCAATCTGTGTAACTTATTGCAATGATTGAAACCTTCACTACAATGTTCAACAGGATTGGTGAAGGCACACATCCTTTCTTTCTTCTTAATCTTAAGGGAAAAGCATTCAGTTTTTTATTGAATGGATGTTAGCTATAGGTTTTATTGTCCTTTATTAGTCTGAACCAATTCCCTTCTATTCCTAGTTTGCTGAGAGCCCTTACCAAGAATGGGAGTTGGATTTTGTGACATGCTTTTTTCTCCATCAATTAAGTGATCATGAAGGTTTTATCCTATTACTACAGTGTATTAAATCAATTTTCTGATGTTAAACTAACCATGCATTCCTGAAATAAATCCCACTTGATCTAGGTGTACAATCCTTTTAATATTTTTATATTTTTCTAGATTTGTTTGCTAATACCGGGGGTGCCAAAAAAATGTGTACAAGTGGACACTTTGGTAAATGTTGCTCAAGCAGTAGTTCACCATAATCAGAAGTGTCTGGAAGCTGATAGTAACCACTTTGAGCACCTCTTGTAATTGCAGAAGTCAAATGTGACTTGTATCCATCTTTTGTTATTGGTATATATTGAGTATTACAATTTTAATACAGTTTTCCATTCTTAAAATGTGTATACATATTTTTTTCTACCCTCTGTATTTCATTTAGGATATAGCATCTGTGTCCATGAAGGATATCGGTCTTGATTTTTTAAATGTCTTTGTACTGCTTTGCTATCAAGATAATACTAGCTTTATAATTGAATGAATCAGGAAGTTTCCGTTGCTCCACTATTTTCTGAAAGAAACTATGAGGGATCAGCATTATTTCTTCCTTAAATATCGATAGAATTCATTAATGAAGACATATGGACCTGGACTTTTTGATGTGGGAAGATTTTAAATTACTAATTCATTGTCTTTATTTTTTATAGGTCAACATTGATCTCTCTATCTTCTTGAGTCAGTTTTGGTAATTTGTATCTTTCTAGGATTTACCATCTAGTTTGCATAAAGTTGTTCATAATATTCTTTTGTAAATGTGGGGTCTGTATTGACCCTACATTCATTCTTGATTTCTTTTTTTTTTTTTTAAGATTTTATTGGAGAATTGGGGGAGGGGAACAGACAAGTTGCTGTCCTTTTGTTCTTCAGTCTGGTTGTGGAGGACGCCGCTTCACTGGCCCATGTTGGTATTATGATCATTGCACTCTTCCCAGCTGAGGCAGTCAGTCGCCGGCCATTGGATAGCCGCTTACAGTTGCTCACGGCAGCTGGCCACTTACGCTGGCTGCCAGTCACTCACGGCAGCCCAACTCCAAGTCAAGCTGTATTTCACCATCTTAGCTATAGAGGGCGCAGTGTCACTGGCCCATGTGGGAACCGAAAAAGCGGCCCTGCTGGTCAGAGCTCCTGCTCCCAAGCCAACTCTTAACCAACTGAGCGACTCGGCTGACCCACTCATTCTTGATTTTGCTAAATAGTGTCTTTTCTCTTTTTCTTGGTCAGAATGCCAATTATCAATTTGTTGCCTCTCAACTCAAAACAAAAACTTCACTATCTGCTGTGTAATAATGGAGCTGGGCCCTGTAAATATTTCTTCTCTGCCAGCTGGCACTACAGAAAGTTTGTCAGTAGAGGGCTTTGGAATCACAGCAGTTCTTGGCAGCTCACGCCGGCTGCCAACCACTCACAGTAGCTTATGGGAGCCCACTGCAGCTCTGCTGTAGCCTACGCTGTCGCCGGCGACTCATGGCAGCCCCTCTCCAGGTTGAGCTGTTTGTTGTTCACCATCTTAGCTGTAGAGGGTGCAGCTTCACTGGCCCTAATGCGGGATCCGAACTGAGGCCCTGCTGCTCAGAGCTGGCGTCCCAAGCCAACTCTTAACCAACGCGCCACTCGGCCAGCCCATGGAGACAACTTTTGACTGCCAAATATCAATGGAGGTCAAATGGGACATACTGAAATGCAAAGCACAGTCGAATGAGAATAAAGCATTCTCCTCATTG